GGCGACCTCGCCCGCCGAGTCCTCTCCGGGCAGCTCCGCGCAGCCCCGCGCTCCGGACGTGCGGGATCCCGGAGGGTCGTGGGGCGGATCCGACCGCGTGCGCGGCCGGTGGCGAGACTGTGGTCCTGGGCCCCGGTCCTCCTTTCTCCCCAAGGTTAAAAGGAGACTCCATCACAACGTTCAGGGGTTCGCTTGGACCAACAGCTGGGGCTTGTGGCGTGACGGAGGTGGAGGAAAGGCTTTTATAAGGGGCAAGGGGAGGCCGGCCGTGTGCGGTTGCTGGTTGCAGTCGCCTTGTTTAGAATATCCAGGTGGAAGTCGCCAAGGTGTGTTATCAGGGCCATTGGCAGTCTGTGTCACCGGGTCCACACCCCGTTCTGCTCCGCGGGACAGCCAATAGATTGAGACAAGGAGTTGGAGCAAGGGCTGTGACTTTGTTTAGAAAGGACATTGAAACCGAGAATGTGAGGGGCCGGCGTCCTACAGACCCCTTGTGGGTTGCGTATGCTGTTTTTGGTTTTTATCCAGGCCGGGGGGCGGGGTGGGAGAGGGGGCCGAGAGCAAGAGGTGGCTTAGACCTGCAGACATATGGGCGCCTGGAGCAGTCCTGTAAAGTCGTGTCGTCTCGTTCTTGGTTCGTGGTCTTTTTTTTTTTTTTTTTTAAACGAAACAGTGCACATGTTCCCACTTTCCCAGAGTTAGTCTGGACAGCTGCATGAGTGTCAAGATTATTTTGGCTATGTACAAGCACTAACTGAGGCGAGTGTTGCTCCTGGGTCTGAAATGGAATTAGTTTTGTGAGTCTTTTGACGGTTCATTCGCGGTTGGACACGTGTAAGTTTTGTTTTTTAAGTTAGTAAGTTAGAGGAGGTGTATTTGAGTTAGTTAGACGTCTGGTTTCTGTGCATTTTCACCTCATTGCTGGTCTTAAGAAGAAAAGGCAGAAATGATTTCTGTTCTCTGGCTAATCTTCTACTTGTGACGGGAGGACAACTATCTCAAAGGACAAGGAAAACCCACCCCAGGGAGATGGTGTAAGAACCCACAAAGCAGAAAGCACCTCCGGCACACAGGAGAGCAAGTGCAGGGTCTTCCAAGAGGGTGATCATGAGGCACTTCTGTGAGCATGATGGGAGTGGTGAAGTAGAGTCCGAGCACTTAATCCACAGATACCAGTGTGGAATTGTAATTAACAAAAAGAGAGGTTTCTTAGCCGGCTGGCGACCACTCTCGCTGGACATGCAAGTCCCAAGACGAGGGCCCTGCCTTGCAGCCGGGGCTGCCTTAAGTAGGGCAAAACCACATCCTGACAAGGTTTCGTTCCTTGGCATTTCTTAAGCAGGCCAAACCACAGCATCCTGGTGGCCTAGGTAACAGCCAATCAAGCAACGGCCAGCAGGTTTTACAGAAGCAGAAGAAGCCAGTTATAAGCATAGCCAGCAGGTGCTGTTTTCAGTTTCTGAGAAAACAACAAAAAAAAGCTTTTACAGACTAACTGTGTAGAAGGTCAGACTATATCCTGAACCTCACTGCTGCCATTTTATTTTCTAGTTGCTAAGCCTTTTACATTCGACGGAGTGGCCTGACTTGACACTTGAGTGGGGCATGTCTGTCAGTCAGCACTGCCCCTCCCTAGGTTTGTCACCTTGAAAAGATTAATTCACTTATTTCAACTTTAGTTTTTCATTACCTTCGTTTACTTATTTCAGCTTTAGTTTTTCATTAACCATAAGATATATTTTATCACTAGAATTGAAAGAGTAAACATTTTCAGGAGCAAGAAATAGGTAGATTTGTGGTAAACAAGATTGATCTTGTGGTAAATAAATGTAGATTAACTGGTAAATTGCACAGATTTATGAAAATATCAGTTCCTCTTTTTTTGTAGAGTGGAGAATGACAGTGCATAAATGTTCTTTACTTTGTTATCTGGGTATCAGAGTTTTTTGCCAAATTTTATGAGAGAAAACTTGGCAACTACTAGAAATGTTCACATATAATTATTTACAAAATGATTTGTTATCATGGAGGTAATAATTACATGTTTATTGTCTGAAAGAGGTACATTCTTTTGAAAGAGGTATGTAATGTAAGTGCCTTCCAATTTCTTGCCCCTCATAATCATAAACACTGAGTTTGAGTGATTTTGCTCCGAGTGTTTTCTCATTTGAAACTAACAACCTTAACTGGAAAAGCAGACACATGGCCCAGAGATTCCAGGCAGTGGTCGTTCCTGATTCTGCTAAGGAGGTCATGAAAGCCCAGGTTGTTTTTCCAGGGCAGCCTCCCCTGCAGGTGGGCCCGTCTGTTTACAGCAGTCATGGAAGGAGCCTGTGGTAGTGAGAAAAGCTGCAGAGACCTGGAAAACTGTGGGTGTGCGGGGAGATGTGGCTAGGGTTGGGATAAAAGTAAAGGGTATGATGCTTTCCGGAAGGTGTAATTGTTACTGTCCTGGGGCTGTTTCTAGATATTGTCAAAAAAATTCGAGTTGGGTTAAAGAAGTATTGCAGTAGGGTGAAAGCACCTGCTTAGGATCTGAGAGCGTCTCGAAATTTTGGCAGAAAGGGGCGTTTCTTCGTGGAGAGAAACAAGGAAGATCAGAAAGAGGGTGGGAGGGGGAGCGCAGGATGGAGGGTGGCACGAGCAGATCCCATTTCTGAGAAGGTTCACCCTGAAGTCAGCCCATTCTTAAGAGGGGCAGAAGGGTTGTGTTGACTCACGCTGAGGGTGGGTGAGAGTTGAGGGGCCTGGGGGAAGGAGGGAAACTTAAGCAAAGTCTGGTTTAGAGACGTTTTGTTCTGACCACTCAAGACAAAAGTGTTCATCTAACTGGCTTTGAGACAGGTAAAAAGGGACGTGCCAGGTAAGTCACAATGGGAAGGGGGTTTCTTTGCAGTAAGCTTCTCCTGCAGAACACAAATCATAACTCCCAATCCCAATCATAACTCTTTATCAGAATTCCCTCCTCACTCCATGTCCCCTGCCACTGTCCCTTGCTTTATTCATCTCTTTCAGTGGGTTCCGAGTTGTATCTTTTATAATAAATTGGTGAACATAAGCGAAACGTTTTGCCGAGTTCTGAGAGTATTCCTCAAATCATTGGACTTGAGGAGGGATTTTTGGAAGTCCCTGATTTATAGGCAGTTGCTCAGAAGTAGAGATGACCCTGGGTTTGCAACTGGCATCTCCAGTGAGGGCAGTGTTGTGGGACTGAGCCCTGAACATGGGGTTCTGTGCTATCTTTAGGTGGAAACAGAATTGAACTGTCGGAGAACCAAATGGTATTGGAGACTTGGCTGGTGTCCAGCAGATCCACACATTTGGCGTCAGGAAAAAAGACATAACAGGTCAGAGCCTTAAACTACTCCAGGTGCCTGTTTGGTCCCTGGTGAGAATTGAGACCCTGGAGGATGGAGCAATTCCACGATGTGAGGACGGGACAGTAGAGTGTGTGGAAGTCCCAGAATTAAATTCCCAGCTGCTCAGGTTTCCACAGTCATTGCCTGTGAGTAAATCCTCCTGGGCTGCAGCTCTCAGCAAGAGTGGTCCCCAAGCCTGGGGACATGATGAACCTACTGACTAGCAGTTTGTTGTGGGCTGTGGGTGAAACAGGCTGCTGCCCTGACTGCTCCCCTTTTGTTTCTAAAATCTGGCTGCCTTATAGTTCTGGTTTTGAGTACTTTTTTTTTTTTTTTTTGAGTTGGGAGTCTCACTCTGTTGCCCAGGCTGGAGTGCACTGGCATGCTCACGGCCTCCGCAGCCTTGACCTGCTGGGCTCAGGTGATCCTTCTGCCTCAGCCTTCCAAGTAGCTGGAACTACAGGCATGTACCACCATGCCCGGCTAATTTTTTGATTTATTGTAGAGACAAGGTCTCACCAAGTTGCCCAGGCTGGTCTCCAACCCCTGGGCTCAGGCATTCCTCTTGCCTCGGCCTTCCAAAGTGCTGGGATTACAAGCTTGAGCCACCTTGCCTGGCCAAGTACATTATTTTTTAATGCTGAATTTAATTAATAAGAATATAACCCCCCATGAATCCCCATGGATTGTCACTGGGGAACGCATCCAGATGGGATTTGTTCCAGTTTCCTGGTACTTGGGTATAGAATGAGGAGTAGGTCTGGAGAAACAAACTAGTAGATAACTAAGTTACATGCATGTCACATGGCCTCCAGAAAAGCAGATGAAGTGGTCAAGGTCTCTACAGTCCAGAAACTTTTATCTGTTGTAAATAGGTAAATGCTTGAATTCAGCACCCTGTAGTCTGTACAAAGAAGGGAGGTGTCCAGGGAACTTGGCCTTTTGTTGTTTGAGTTCTGATGTCACTGCCTAAAAGGTCATTCACAGACAGAAGCATTGTTGTTTTCATTATCATCATTTATGTGCTGTATTTAACCTTGTAAAAATAACTCTTTAGCTTCTAATGATAATGTCCTAAAAACGCCTGAGGGGTTTTGGTAACATTGCTTGTTATAGTAGGTTATAAAATAGACAAGGAAGTGGCTTAAATACATTTAAATTATACAAAATCTAGGAGTCAGGTGTCTCTTGGGCAGGTTTAGGAAATAGCCCAGGGACACAGAGCAGAGACCTAGGGCTCACTGCCTGCCCCAGGCTTGCCTGATCTACCTTCTTTGGAGCCTCCCCCAGGTCTGGCCCCACCCTGAAATCTCCCCTCATCAGACTGATCAGAGGAGTTCGTGGTATTTGGTAGCTGCTCCTAGTGTCTCTCCAGAACTGGTGCTTGCAATTTCCCCAAGCCCAAAAGCAGAGGAATGGGGAAAAAAGTATTTGTGTTGTGATAAGTGTGTTGGGTGTGAAGGACCCTGCGTGCTGGCCCTGCTTTCTGAAGTTTGGTGTTGTCGACTGTGGGTGAAGCAGTGTCAGCATTCACAGGAGACTTGGTTTAAAAGCCCATTCAGGACCTGCAGAATCACAGTTTCTTAGAATAAGACCCCAAATATTAAAAGATTTATGTGGAAAAACAGCTTGAGAGGCAATGCTTGTCTAAGTGGTTCTCAGCTCTGGCTTCTAAATAGGATCACATGGCCAGTTTGGAGAAACATCATCACTTGTGTCCTCCCCACAGTCTTCGCTGTTGATCTACATGGAGGCACCCATGTTGTTGTAATTAATTGCCCCCACGTGATTCTAATGTGGAGTTCAGAGTAAAGCACAAAGGCTCTCAGCGTTTGTGACAGTTGATTTCAGAAGGGAGGTCACCTGGCCTGCCCTGCTTGGGTTTGGTTGGCAGGTCAGTGGGGCTGTATTTTCATTGCTGCAGCAGAAATTGCTAGTGTTTGTGGCAAGGGAGGGCACTTAAGGGTAGGAAAGAAGAAATTCACACTTTGGTCTCCATGTGGGAGCTCATTGTTTCTGAATCTGTCCCTGTGACACAAGATAGACAAAAGTGAACTTTTTCTGCACTTCTGGGTTTTACTGTCTGTGGGTGTGGTGGTAGCAAGGGAAGAATTGTGCTCATGGCTTATGCTAAAGGCATATACTGGCCAGGCCTCATAGTTCATGCCAGTAATCCCTTCACGTATGAGACTTAGGGTAGAGGATTGCTTGAGCCCAGGAGTTTGAGACCAACCTGGATAACATAACACATCCATGTTGCTTCAAAAGCTCAAAAAATTTATCCAGGAGTGGTAGCATATGCAGTAGTTCCAGCTGCTTCAGAGTCTGAGATGGAAGAGTCTTCTGCGCTCAGAATGTTCACTCCTGCCTGGGTGACAGGGTGTGACTCAGACTCATAAAATAAATACGTTTAATTTAATTTTTAAAAAATAAAGGCATATTTTCAACATGTAGGTGTGACTTGTCCAGATAATCCCACCTGGAAAGAGATCCCAGAGGAGGAGGAGGAAGAGGAAAAAATGGCTGGTTCTCAGGTAAATGTGTCCCAGGTCAGGGCCTGTGTCTGTTTTCCTATTGGAATGGCATGATTTTAGAACTTGTAAACCTTTACTGCTACTTGTGATGGTCCTGCCTAGTGAGCTTGTTTCAACTAGTTTCTTTTCTTCCTGTGACATTCAAGGACTCTGAAAAACTCTTTCCCTACATACCAGAACCTGCTTTCTCTTTGCTCTCTTCTTTCAGGCCTTAGCTGTCATGCACAGTTCTCACCTTGAATTTATGACCTGCAGTATTAAACTTGTTCCCTTGTGGCTGTGGAACATGGGAAGGCGTGGATACCTGAGATTCCTATTGGAAATGGGGTAGATCCTCAGATACTATTGAGGGATAAAAACGTGTACTAAGTTTCCATCTGGATGCTCTGTCTGCTCCATGCAGAGCACAAATAATAAAATGTACATTTAAGCAGGATGGCAGTTACTGCCCAGAGTAACTCAGGAAGGTCTGAATAAAGGATAATTAGAAGAGACTTGCTCTCTAGGATGTAAAAAAAGACCATATCAGTGCACTTTTAGAAATTACAAAACATGGCAGATACCTGTAACTGGACTTGCACATAGATGTGTGTTTGCCATTCTTAGATTCAGATTATAGTTTATAATTTCTTTTGATTGACAATATCTCAGCCTCGATGTTGTATTGTCTGTGTGCCTTGGCACCTGACACCAATTTGTCTCAGCCACTTGGAAGACTGAAAATGGTGAATCCTTTTGCCCAGAAGGTGGAGGCTGCAATGGCTGTAATTATGCTACTGCACCCCAACGTGGGTGAAAAAGTGATACCCCTTCCAAGTGAAAAACGCAGAAACTCAGACTTACCTTGGATCTCCTGAATCAGGAGCTGCATTTTATCAAGATATTCAATTCATTTTTGTACACATTAAAACTTGATAGGGACCTTCTGACTCACTATGAGCTTTCCATCTGACCAGTGTAATAGCTTATTCTGCATGATGTAAATATAGCACTCAAAAATGTACATGCCTGTGTTTGTACCAAAATTTGTACCAAATTTTATACTAAATCATTCACAAAAGTAAAGTGTCTACACTGGCTGAGTGGATTTTATTCCATCCTTTTTCCTCAGTTAATACATTAGAGAATATTGCTGTATTAAAAATTATCTTACTGAATAATTCCAGTTGTTATAGCAGCTGAAACCTGTTCTCTTCACTCTCATTTCACCTTGAACCCAGGCCACTTGATAAATATGTGTTGTTGTCATTTTCAGGGGCTGTTGACATTCAGGGATGTGGCCATAGAATTCTCTCGAGAGGAGTGGAAATGCCTGGACCCTACTCAGCGGATTTTGTACAGGAACGTGATGCTAGAGAACCACAGAAACCTGGTTTCTCTGGGTGAGGACAATTTCAAGAAATAATTTATCTTCCATCGTAAGGATTTCTTCTTTTCTTTTTTTTGGAGTCAGAGTCTTACTCTGTCCCCCAGGCTGGAGTACAGTGGCACGCTCATGGCAACTGCAGCCTGCACCTGCTGGACTCAGGCGATCTTCCGCCTCAGCCTTCCAAGTAGCTGGAACTATACGCATGCGCCACCACACCCAGCTGATTTTTTGATTTATTGTAGAGACGAGGTCTCGCCGTGTTGCTCGGGCTGGTCTTGAAGCTGTGAGCTCAGGCAGTCCTCTCGCCTCTGCCTCCCAAAGTGCTGGGATTACAGGTGTGAGCCACCATGCCCAGCCATAGTAAGGATTTCATGTCCTTCTTTTGTAGAATATTCTCTGTGAGTTTCTGTTTGTCACAAGTGAATTTCAGATTCCTGCTTTCAAGGGAAACTTTGTGGTTTGTTGGCATAGAAAATAAAAAATAAAAGATCTTTCATTTTGACATAAACCATTACCTATGTTGAACTGATCTGTGTTCTTCACACTATATATTAGTGGTAAGTTCAGAAATTTAGGGGCATAAAATATTGCCGCCCACACCTTGAATTCCAATAGGTGCCATCAAATTTTGATTCACTAGTACTGAGCTAAGGACCCACAAATTTAAAACTCTTTCTAAATGTTCTAAAGGTTTTGTTGGGAAACAATATTTGGGGATTAATTTTCTAGAATCTTGTATAATGTATTCTCTACTGAACACAGTACTAGGTTTGTAATAGGAGAATCCCAGCAAGAGTCATGTTACTTTTTTCTAAAAAAACCAAACAGGCCTTGCTGTCTCTAAGCCGGACCTGATCACATGTCTGGAACAAAGGAAAGAGCCCTGGAATGTGAAGAGACACAACACATTAGCCAAACCCCCAGGTAGGTGGGAGTAAATGAAGCAAGTGACACAGGTCAAGGAGGAAACAGAGCTTAAGATGTGGTTGGGAAGGTGGTCTGCTCCTATGGAAATGGTTCCTGAGAAACCTGGGGTTTCTTCTCTTGCACTCGCAAAAGGACGTCTATTGTTCTGTGCTCTGAAATTCTCCAGAAACTACTTTTCCTTTGGTGACCTTTCTTTAAGGATACAGTGGAAATCAAAGTCTTCTAAATGGTTCACCAGGGACTGCATGATCTGACTGCTCTTCTGTTGCTTTGCGGCTCATGAAAATATCTGCTTATTTATTTACAAACTCCATGTTAAACTATTTTTAAGTTTTCTTTTTGCATCATGTTGGAAACGTGTGAGAGTAGTGGTGATTTTGTTATTTGACTCTGAAATCCCAAGAACACTGCGGACAGATGTTGTATGTTTTCTGCTTTATGATTTCCTAATATAGGGAGGTTTCAAATGTGATTCTATAGAAATTCATACTCCATAATTTTGCTAGAACACAGACTATCTCTCTAGATAGCAGAAAAGCTAATGTTATTTTAATTTTTTTTAGTACGAACTGAGATTGGTAATTTAAATTCTATATACCCCAATTTTTTAAGTATACTATATCACTTAGAACATTGGTAAACATATATTAAATTTCAATGTGTTGCCTTGTTTCTTTTTTCTTTTTCTTTTTTTTTTTTTTGAGTTGGAGTCTCACTCTGTTGCCCAGACTGGAGTGCAGTGGCCGCTCCCGGCCACCGCAGCCTCAACCTGCTGGGCTCCAGTGATCCTTCCGCCTCAGCCTTCCAAGTAGCTGGAACTATAGGCGCGCGCTACCACACCCGGCTAATTTTTTGATTTGTTGTAGAGATGAGGTCTCACCAAGTTGCCCAAGTGCGTCTCGAACCCGCGGGCTCAGGCAATCCACTCACCTCAGCCTTCCAAGGCGTGGGATTACAGGCTGAGCCACCGAGCCTGGCGCCTTGTTTCTTAATAACTTTTATTTTATGATTCTTTTGTAAGTATGAAGCTTAAGATTGGATTATACATAGACATATTCATATGCACATACGCATACATGTATGTCTAGGTATGTGTGTTTAACATCAGAAATTTTTTACAGAAATAAAAATTGTATAACCATGTATTGTGTAAAATATAATGATTTGATATGTCTGTACACTGTGAAACAGTGACTACAATCAAGTTAATGAACATATCAATCACCTTACCTTGTTGCCATTTTTAAGGGTGACACATAATGTCTACTATTTTAGCAAAATTTTTTAGCATACAAGACATTATTATTAACTATAATCACCATGTTATCAACTAGATCCCTAAAACTCACTTAGAACTGAAATTTTGTAAACATTGAACAGTGTCTCCCATTTTCCCCACCTGCAGGCCCAAATGGACCACCACTGTACTTTCTGCCTCTATGTGTACAATCTTTTTTGATTCCACATGAGTGAGATCATGCAGTATATTTTGTGTGTGTGCCTGGCTTATTTCACTTAGCATAATGTCTTATAGTTTCATTCATGAGGTTGAAATTGCAGGATTCTTTGAATTTTTTTTTAAGGCTGAATAATATGCTATTGTGTATATATATTATATTTTCTTAGTGTAGAATCCAGAAATAGGTTGTTTTCATAGCTTGGCCATTTTGACAAATGCTGCAGTGAACATAGGGGTCCGGATACTTTTTTGAGATACTGATTTTATTTCCTTTGGTTGTACACAAAAAGGGAATTTCTGTGTTGCGTGGTAGTTTACTTTTTATTTTTAAAGGAATGTTCATAATGGTTTTCATAATGACTATAATTTAAAACTCACCAACAGTACATAGGATTTCTTTTTCTTCACATTCTTGCCAACACTTCTCTCTTTTGTTGCTATTAGCCGTCCTAACAGGTGTGAAATGATATGTCATCATTGTGTTGATTTGCAATTGCCTGGTGATTGGTGATGCTGAGCACCATTTCATATGCCTGTTGGCAATTTGTATGTCTTTATTGGAAAAATAACTATTCATTTTTGATTTATTTTTCAGTCAAGTGATTGTCATTTTATTGTTTTTGCCTTTGATTTGAATACTTTTCTTGTATATTTTGGATATTAACCTCTTAGTGGATATATGCCTTGCAGATATTTTCTCTTCTCCTGTAAGCCTTCTTCCTGTTTCCTTTACTGTGAAAAAGCTTTTTAGTTTGATGCAGTCTGAGTTGTTCATATTTGCTTTTGTTCCTGTACTTCTGTTGTTATATTAAAAAAATCATTACTAAGACCAATATCAATATCTAGGAGGTTTTCCAAATATTTTCTTTTAAGGTTTTAAAAAAAAAATTTTCTTTTTGAGTTATGGTCTCTTTCTGTCATCCAGGCTGGAGTGTAGTGGCATAATTAAGGTTCATCACAGCCTTAATTATCCCAAAGTGCTGGGATTACAGGTGTGGGCAACCACACCCAGCTGTTTTATTTTTTTATTTTTTGAGTTTGTTTTTTATGTATTATCTCTGAAAACTTATAGACCTCTTACAGCACAGTCCTATGTAGCCGATTGTGTGTGTTATACCTAGGCTAACTGTTGGATGCGCTCTCGAAATGGAACTCATTGTATTTAGGGGACATACTGTATTTTTTTTTCATTTTACTTTCGACCTGTTTGACTCTTTAGAGCTAAAGTCAGTCTCTTAAAGATCACGTTTTGTTAGATCTTGATTTTTGTTACTCCATCATCTGTTTTAAGTAATTAGAGTGTTTAAGGAATTTATATTTAAAGTAATTACTGAAAAGGAAAGGCTTTCTATTGTTACTATTACCATTTTAAATTGTTTTCTGTGTTTCCTGTAGCTATGTTGCCCCTTTTTTTCCTGTCTTCCTACCTCCTTTTGTGTTTTTTTATTTTTTATTTTGTTGGTGATTTGCTTTGATTACTCTTTCATTACCTTTTGTGTACCTTCTATAATATTTTCTTGGTGATTTCTGTGACAAATGGAGAGTACATAAAACATCTTAAAGTTATACCAATACATCTTAATATCATAACACTTTAACTTTAATTGCATACAAGCACTCTGTCTTTGTATCTCCCCTCACTTTGTAATTTATGTCACAAAATGTCTATTGTGTGTCTCTTCACCAAGATGTGTATGAATTTTATGTTTTCAAAAATTCTATAGCAGATTACGAGCATTTTAGACACCATCATTGTGATAGCAGAGAATTTTCTATTTGTGTATGTGGTTATCTTTAGCATAGCTTTACATTTTTATATGGTTTAATATACCGGTCACCATTGCTTTATTTTTCAAGAGAAAAACTCTATTGAACATTTCTTGTAGGACTGTTCTAGCGGTGACAAACACCCTCAGTTTTGTTTATCTTGGTAAGTCTTTATTTTTCCCTTATTTTTCAACTATAGTTTTTCCAGATCTAGTACAGTTGGGTACATATCTGTGAATTCTGCATCTATGTATTCAACCAACCAGGAATCAAAAGTAGTTTGAAAAAAATAGATTTTTGCACCCTGGTATCAAGATATTGGTCTACTTGATACTATCCAAGAAACCTCATAATCTGTATACATTTTACATTATTTTTATTCATTTTTTTCCTGACTCAATATTTATAAATGATACATTTTTAATTTTCTGTTGTTTTTCTGCTTGACTAATACTATTATGTCTTGTAAATTTTTTTTTTTTTGAGTTGGAGTCTCACTCGGTCGCCCAGACTGGAGTGCAGTGGCCGCTCCCGGCCACCGCAGCCTTGCCTGCTGGGCTCCGGCGATCCTTCCACCTCAGCCTTCCAAGTAGCCGGAATTACAGGCATGCGCTACCACGCCCGGCTGATTTTTTGATTTATTGTAGAGATGAGGTCTCGCTGCCCAGGCGGGTCTCGAACCCGCGGGCTCAGGCAATCCACTCACCTCAGCCTCCCAAAGGCGCGGGATTACAGGCCGAATTTTTAAAAACTCTCAGTTATTGTATTCTTTAGCTTCACAGTTTTAATGAATTCTTTTTTTATAGTTTTACTCTATATTGATAATCAACTTTTCTTCATATGTCAATTTCCTATTTTTTTGGTCTGTCTGTGTTATAGTTATTGAGCATGTCTCAGATAATTATTTTGAACTTTTTGTCAAATGCATAAATCTTCATTTAGGGTATGTTTATGGAAATTTATTTTTTGTTTCTTCTGGGATATATATATATATGTTTGTGTGTGTGTATATATATATATAATTTTAAATGCAGCTGCCTATGACAGTAATTAATAGTCTGACTTTTTACAAGGGAATCTGACTTTTTACAAGGGAATGCTGATCATCTGGGCTACAGATTCTGGGTGCTTCTCAAATATTATCTCAGGATGTGTTGACTCTTGGGTTCAGAAATCCCAATAACACTAGGGACAGATATATCACATGTTTTCTGCATTATAATATTCAGTTTTATGGAGATTTCCAAACATCCTACAGAAATTTGGACTGAGTAATTTTATCAGGACACGAAGTATGACATTACATTTTAAAAAATCTAGTCTATTATTACATGAAAACTTTTCTTAGTATGGACTAAACTTAGAAATTTAAACTTTATTTGCCTAAATGTAAAATAGAGTTATGTACCTATTCACCTCATAGCATTCTTAAAGAAACTAATGCTGTAGGTAAATTTGAAACATTGCCAATATATAGTAAAAATTCTATTGTTACCTTTTTTCCTTTAAACTGTCACTTTATAATTTTGTCTTTTTTAGTATATAGAATACCATAACTATGTTTTATATAGTTTTAACTTTTAATTTGCAGTATATTAGTTTGCTTGCAATTTTAGTTTGAAAAGTTCTGGAATAATATGCTTGGATTTATGTCTCATGTAAGAGGTGAATTAGATAATTAGTAAACCTTTCACTTTTGTTTAAATATTTATTTTTTATGTTTATTGCTTGTAAAAAGTTATCATTAGCATTTCCATCCACTTTCCTCAAC